GTGTGTGCTAATCAACATTATGCCACACATGTTGTCAATTATTAAACCCGCAGTATTCCTTATAAGCAAAAAAAAAAACCCCCGGCTAAAACCTGAACTGAGTCCCCACACACTCAATCAGCTTTGAGCTGCATTTGGGACAAAGGTTTTGGGGGAAGGGGTTGATGTTTCTGACAGAGGCTCTAACGCTTTTGGGGTAGCTGTTGACCCTCCTGAGCTCCTGATCTCACTCTAAACACTGCTGGAGCCCTGTGGGCTTAATGTGTTTACTTGCATTTCCTACACCTACCTCATACTCCTCCCCCAGGCAGCCAACAGTCTTCCGCCCAGCCAACACGGTGCCCTCCCCGGCTTCATCAGCATGCGTGAAAACCAGCAGCCCTCAACACAAGACCATTGGTGAGGGTGTAAATGGATTCAAATAGAGGAATGACAATGGAGATATGGTGTGAAGAGACCGCCTCTGAAACACCAATCCAAGTGAGACAGACAGAAATTGAGTGATAGACATTTGAGAGGTTGTTCTGGACATAGAAAAATCTGTTTATTTGGCTATTTTTTGTTTTTAACAATAACCACCTCCTGTAAATGCTAGTCAACAGGTTTATACTTTCATATACGCCGATATTTTAAGTCACAGTTATTTTAGGTGGTGACACAACTAGGACATGTCTCATGCAGTCTATTTTCGTAGTCACCGAAGAACTTTCACAGAAAGCCTACGCATCCAGTCGTATTAGTGAAATAAAGTGACACGCATCAGCTATTAAAACCGACAAAAAAAAACTACAACGAGTCTTTTATATTATATTTCAAAGGTGTCTTTCTTAAATGATTGTTATAAACGATTGCATTTCTTTTGTCTTCACGAAGCTATTTTTGCTTTGTGGGTCACTCTGCCTCTTGAAAATCTAGTAGTTCCATGAGTCAGCTCTGTTCTCTTTCTCTTGTGCTCTTTCTCTCTCTCATGACCAAGGTATCTCCATGGCTACAGGATCCTCAGAGGTTCAGGTTGCAGAATTGGGTGGGTGTTAGCTGTAGCCATGGTAAATTAGCCTGAGAAGACGCATTGAAAATGCAGAAGAACACAGAGAAGTGAAAATAAATTTGCTTGATTCAGATTCTTTTAACAGCTCCTCTTAACGCTGTTGCTGTTTTAATGAACGTGACAGAAATGTAAAGTCCCCAATGGAAGGAAAAGAGGCAAAAAGTGTCTTAGCAAAGTCACTTAGCTACATTTTTAACCGCTCTGTTTAGATACTTACAATTACATTTTTGCATTTAGCAGATGCTTTTATCAGAAGCAACTTACAATAGTGGAACATAAGTGTCAAAGAGCCAACAATATTCATAGTATACAATGCAAGATTTATTAGAAAGCTAGATTAAGAAACAAGAGCAGAGAAGAAATGCAGAGAATGAAAAAAGGACTTTTGTGTGTGTAAGTGCACTGTGTGACGAGAGGGGCGGGGCCAAGAGCCTTGGGAACGGAGCGAGGCCGGTGGAGTAAATGCTAATGCACGACACCTGCGCCACTCACCCCTCTCGTCACACACTGGTTTAAGATTGTACTGGTTTATAGATACTCATTAGTTTTATAGATTTTGATTAATTTCTAGTCTCTCAGTCATTCTCAGTGTTTTTTCATAAAGTAGCCTAACCCTGCATTTCACATATTTACAATTTAGAATTACTTGAATCATTAGGATTACATTTTTTTTTTTTGTGTATATGTTATGTCTCGTAAATGTCATTATTTTTACTGTCAAGCATTTGTGTTGCATTTATTTGATTAAGTGCTTTCATATCCCTTTACACACATTCACATAACCACGCTCGTCCATCATCAATCACAGAGAGATTTTCAAAATTACAGCTTTGAATGAAAGAGAATTGTTCCCTTCAATTACAGGGAGCACTAGGCAATCACAGGTTTGATGTATCCTGTATGGTATGACACACTAGGGACTGTGAAATGAATTTAGCTCTCCCCGAAGAAGACAACAAACACTGTGACTCACACCCAGCACAACAGCAGATCAAGGCTCTGTAACATATTAACAGTTCATTAATAACATACTGCTTTTCCGATCTCAGACAAAAAGTTCAACCTCGGCATGAGTCAGAGATGAACGTTCATGAATAGAATGCTTATGACTCAACAGAAATGTGAAGTTGCTTTGGCTACAGCGTGCAGAAGAAGCAGATACGTTCGGTACTGCAGCATGGTGCCATTTGAATTGAATTTAGAGCATATTGTTATATAATAGAGGCGTTTGAGAGCTATATTTAGAGTGGGCTCGCAGCGAGTCGCATGGAACGCCGATAAAAGCTGTGGCAACCTGTTTAATTTCAGGTTATGAGGAGCACTCTCACAGTTTAATGAAGTTGTTTAGCATTAGGGATATCAGCCCTCAAGCAGTTTATGGATTGGTTTTTCTATATTTAAAAAAACAAAATAGTCAATGATTTTGCTGGTGTCTGGGATATTGTTAAAGTTGTGATGTAATGGAAGTAGCAACATATCTTTTCTTCTGTATTGTGAAGTACATCATGGTGAAACAAAAAATGTAGGCTATAGAGACTTGGTTCCATCCATCAGTTATTGACTGCATGATCTGAATGTGAAATTGCAGTTGATTGTAAGAAAGGGTGGAGTGGCGTTTAAATGAACTAAATGACTGGAGAAGTCCAGCTACATCACCAGAAAGAAGTCCGTCATTTCACCGAAAGGTCAAATTATGATATTTTAACACAATTTCATGGGCATTTGTAACTAGTGAGTTGGTGGCTAATCTATATGAATTTGTACAATTTCATCTCTATGTTTTCTTATGATTTGTGTACATCCCAGCAACAGTCATGTTTAGGAGTGGACCTTCATGCTTGAATGTTTTCGAATGTGTGAATTGTTTACAATAATATCAATAGCTTGCATTTAGAAAAAAAAGATGAAGGGTGAATTTTCATTTCATGCTGACTTTAAGAACTACAGCTGAGAGCCAAGGCTTTCATGACATTTTGTCCTGATTTGTTTCTTGCAGGAGATGATGTAAATGGGATTTTTGAATTATTTCCTTGATAAAGCTTGTCATTCTGTTCATGTGTTATTGTTACAGCCTAATGAAGTTGCATAGACACATCACTAAATGAGTATGTACTTGCTTGGATTCCCTCTTACTGCTGTTTAAAAGTCTAGGCTCCTTTTCTCTTTGAGGAGGCCTGCATGTGTGTGTGTGTGTGTGTGTGTGTGTGTGTGTGTGTGTGTGTGTGTGTGATTGAGAGAGAGAAAGAGTGAGTAAGAGAGAGAGCGAGAGGGCTGAAAGATGACTCACCTATTTACAGTGGGGTGTAACATTCATGTTGCCATCAACACAACAGGAGTGCACACCATTTTTCATTCTCGCACAAATATTTTGTCTAATAAACAATATTAATGATTGTTAAACTAATTATACCCTATAATACAACTACAAGAAAAAATAACTGAACCTTTTGGATTTATATGTTAGCTCATACTAAACTCCAGATAGCTTTTGAAGAAGCCAGCCTGCACTGTGAATGTTTTATTGTTAAAAAAAAAAAAAGACAAGAAAACCTATGATTCTTTGTTTGAGCAGTTTGTCTGTTTTTGGGAATTTTCCAGAAATCTGGGTTTAAAGACCGCACATGTAACTGATTTTTCCATTTCATGCACTGAAGATAAGCATAAACAATTTATGAACATTTTGGTTATAAATACTTTATTTTTGGCCAGCTATCCGGTGTGTTGTGATTGGCCGAATACCTCAAGCGTGTGACAATCAAGCGTTGCATCGCGCCGCGTAAACATAAAACCATGTCTGCATTTGTGATCGGAGAAATGACAAACAACAAGCGCTACTCTACATTGCTCAAAACTCGCGTTTTAATCATCAGTGGCAAATTCTTTAAAAATGAAAACGTACTTACAGACTGTGAGTCAGAACAGCCGGCATTGTAGTCTACTCTACCAGGATCAGGGCGTTTTAGGAGGGCGTGGACCAGTCTTAACTTTTATAAAGAATATCTCTTTGGATTTGAGATTTTAGTCTTTGCAGCTTTAGAGATCTTATCTATTCACGAACAGCTTGTAACTCCAAACAGAAAGGAAAACTTGAAATTGCATCATATGACCTTAAACAGAAACCTCTTATAAACCTCTCCATGCTGCATCACACAACTCTGAAAGTGTTTATTCTTCTATGGCCTTCAACAAATTAAGCAATACATAGCTATGCATTTGTGATCATGCATTTGTGATCAGACATTTGTGATTGTGGCCTAATGGTTAAAAAGTCAGACTTATAACCCAAAGGTCACATGTTTGAGACTTAGTACTGGCAGAGATTGTAAATGGTGGGAGTGAATGACCAGTGCTCTCTTCCACCTTCAATACCACGACTTTATGAATGGAACGACTGAGGTTTTTTCGGGGTCGCGCGCACGGAGTATCCAATTTCACTTCATTGAGAAAAACAAGCGTAGAGGAAAAGGGGGAGGGAGGGATTGAACTTCTTGAACTCCTTCTTATACCTGTTAACTCGCTGTTGTAATGCTATAATCTCGATTTACTTATTTAATAGCTATAGTTTCCGCTGGCAGCCTTTATTATCGCCAATAAAATCTTTAAAAGCACAAACTCTTCATTTTCAGCGTGAAATGTGCAGACGCACGTTCCTCTTGTTTTATAAAGGTCTGATAAGCTTCAGGAAGCAATAATGTTAAGCGATGGATGTTTAATTAGTTCTTGGTCCAGAGAGGTTAGGCGGTGTTTTCTTGGCCTCGCAGCTGTAATACGATTTTATGGCCTGCAACACTTGCGTCAGGGAAAATAAACACACGTGTGTGATGAAGCGTGATGAATAGCTTAAGTTTCGTTATTTTATTCCAGTCTTTCCACTGTTTAAATCTGAACCTTATTTGTTTTAAGAGATGAAGCTGCTTATTTATTTATTTTCTATATTATTATTATTTCTTTATTTAGACTCTGAGTATGGAGGCTTGGGTAGTCTCATGGGCAACAGATGGCTCTGTATGGTTATGTAAGGACCCCCATCTGTACCGTGAGCCTTAAATGGTTTGTGTGTGAGAGAGAAGGAGAGGGTGAGCGAGTGTAAGTGTCCTGCACTAAAGCAGCACACTTCATCTGAGCTGAGAGTGAGTGTTACACAAACAAACAGGCTAGCTGAAGTTTTCACAGATCAAAGGGACAGTTGGTCCTGGACTGTCAGGACCCGGGGACATTCACTAACAGCTGCATCAGATCCTGACAGAGTGTGTGTCTTTCTCTAAATGCCACTTTTCTCATCTCTTCCTCAGACAGGCCACAATATCACCCCCCTTTATCCCTGTTTATTCCCGTTTTCCCTGCTGCTGCAGCCACATATGCCGCAGTGAGAAGCAAGTGACATGGATGGGTTTTACGATCAGCAGGTCCCTTTAATTGTGCCCCCCAGAGTAAGTCTCTGCTTCAACTTGTCATGCCTCATTTTCTTCTTTTCTTCACTTTTGTGACTGTTGTTCGCTTTCAAATGTTTTACTACAGCATATCCATCCAAACTGGATGGCTGTGAACATTGATCACTTGTTCAAACTTTCATTATTTGATCTTGGTCTCCTTTTTTTTATTTATTTTTTTTTTATACAGAAGTCTCACATGCAGGAACCGTCTTGCAGACCATTCAATGACAGAAAAAGGAAGTTTGTTGACACTGAGTTGGCACAGGATACAGAGGGTAAACAAATGAATATGCAATCAATCCGTCTAGATCCCTCTAAAGCACATAATTTAACTCGGGGCCCAAACAAATCAGGCTGTTTATTCACAAATCAATCTTTGTGTCCCACAGAGCTCTTTCAAGATCTGAGCCAGCTACAAGAGATTTGGATAGCAGAAGGTACGACAACAGTCCAAAGCTCTAGAATAGTCATGGTTATGGAATACATTTCATAACTACTGTTAAAACACAACTTGGTTGTTAATGCATCATCCCGTTGTTGATCTCTGGGGCCCCATTCAAATGGGACAAGACATTACGGGATATATAAATATATACATTATTTATATTCACTTGAAATATTTGTTATTTATATTCACTTTAAACTTTTTAATTTATTTGTATAAATAATTCAATCATTTTGTTTCCCCTCTCCATGTGCAGCCCAGGTACCTGATGACGAACAGTTTGTTCCAGATTTCCAGTCGGTTAACTGTGAGTGCTCTTTGAATATTCATGCAGAATAGCCTATAGAGCTTGCCTTTATTAATTATAGAAACTGACTTTGAATTTGAGCAGCAATCCTGGCACCTTCCTCCTTGAAACCAAGAAAATCAATTAAATGAATCTCAAAACTCCTCATTCCAAAAGTTTCTGTGCCAAACCCGATTCCTAGGGATTTCTATAAAGTGTGTGTGTGTGCACATGTGAGGCCCAGTCTGCCGCTGCGGTGCTGTAACTCACGGCAGCCTCCAGCTTGGTGACATTTTAATGGGGCTGGATCCTCGGTGCACACACACTCTGGTTATTATGTGCTGGTGAACAGTGCTTTGGCTGTTTCCCTTGTTAGTTTTTCTTCCCATTTGGCTCTGAATAAGTCTGATTGTGTGCATTTTCTATGGTGTCAATGGTGTTTATTGTAGAAGGTGAATGCACATGGATGTGTTTGCATAGAAATTGTGTGTGAGAGGGTATGTGTGTGTTTGTCTGGCACAATTCCCCTTATCTGGCATCGTGCCTGTAGCTCTCACAGGCCCCTCTTTCACCACAGCTGGGGAGTGGGGCCCTTTTTCCATAGGAATCACAGGATAGTCTGTGAGTTCTAACTTGCAGCCTTTAAAACTGAGTAGTTCTAGTAGTCCAGTACTACATATTCCTCAAACACCTGACACCAGATGACGCTAGGCTATACTACCGATCAAAAGTTTGAAACAATTACGATTTTTTAAATGTTTTTGAAAGAAGTCTTTAATGCTCCCCGAAGCTGCATTTTATTTTTATTTTTTTAATTTAGTAAAATATTAAATATTGCAATTTAAAATAACTGTTTTCTATTTAATATATTTTTTTTAAATGTAATTTATAAATTTTTTATTGATACATTTTTGTAATTTAAAGTGTGATGACAAAGATGAATTTTTAACAGCCATTACTGCAATGTGTCACATGATCCTTCAGAAATCATTCTAATAAGCTGATTTGGTGCTCAAGAAACATTTATCAATGTTGAAAACACAAAAATATTAAGCGGCAAAAACTGACTCTAAATTCAATGACAGAAATAAATCACATTTTAAAAGATTAAAGTAGAAAACAGTTCTTTTCTCAAATTGTAATATTTCAAAAATATTACTGTTTTTATTGTATTTTTATCAAATAAATGAATCACTAGTGAGCATAATTATTTCAAACTTTTGACCAGTAGTGTAGGTTCCAAGTTAAAGAACTATTTTTGTTGGGTATTTGTGAGACTTTGAAATGTAAAAATTTTTTTTTTCACTCTAGTGATGTTCCATGGACTCCCTCAAACTAAAGTAAAGCGGGAACCAAGCCCAAGCCGAGAGTTTTCCCCGTGTGGACAAGAGCAGCGACTGTCTCCATATGGAGAAAAGTGCCTATATAGCTACAGGTACCTATATATTTCCTTATCCTTTCCCTATCTTTCCCTTCTCCCTATTTCTCTCACTCCATCTCACTGAATCATATTTATTTCTATTTTGTCATTCAATTTTAGTGCCTTCGACAGGAAGCCATTTACTTTTAACAAGCCACTCACTCCTCCTTCTACACCGGCATCACCCTTTGGCTCCTCCACCAGCGCAGCAACACACCCTGTGCAAAAAAGAGTGATGCCACCAGTCCAAACTCCGACACAAGGACCGCCACTATTGTCTGGTCCCAACCACAGCTCCACACCACCACATCAGAGAGCACAGACTCCACTCCACAGTCAGAGTCCACCTTTTGCTGTGCCCTGCTCTCCTATCAATCACCCAGATGCCTCCTACAGCACAGACCACAGGTATGAATATATGGCAGCATGCTTAGAAAAAATAGCTTTGTACTCTTAGGATGTTTTTATTTCCGGCTCTTCATAATCACTTTTTGGGTCACGGTGATCATTTTCTAACCTCATTTCTATCTTTACCTCTTGCTTAAGCCGCTCGTGCCTGTTGAAAGTGCCTGTAATCAGCTGAGGTTGAGCCTTTCATTGGGTATTATCTTGTTAAAGATGCCACACTGACCTGGAAAGCAGTTCTATATTTATTCCATTCAAGTCTTCGACTAATGGAAAAAAGAGCTTTAACACCAGACTTATCCCTTTGATGTGAAACTCATCATGATCTCAGTTGCCCAAGGTGTTGTGAATAATGCCTTCTCACATAATTTCTCATATTTTGCCTTGCTTTTTCATTAGGTTCCATCGGCAGCTTTCCGAGCCCTGTCTCCCATTCCCTCAGTCCGATGGCCGCTGTCAGACACCTTACCCCCCGCAGGCCCGTGGTCATTTTCCCCGACACAGCCGCCCCCCATATCAGCGCCAGATGTCAGAGCCGTTGGTGCCAATGCCTCCCCAGGGATTCAAAAAGGAAATGGTGGATCCCTGTTACAATGAACAGGGTGTGCAAAATATGGGACCTCCCCGTGCACCGTTGTTCCACCAAATGTCAATCAAACAGGAGCCCAGAGACTTCGGCTTTGACTCAGGTAGGTGTACATCTCTCAGAGAGCTGCTATAAAATAAGTACTGTTGGCTGTAAGACTATCATAATGGTGAAATTTCACAGGCAAAAGGCCAGTAGTGTAGCGACATATAGAGCACAGCTCACACTGTCACTTTCTGTTGGTCAACATGACGAATTCGTGCAACCAATCATTTGCACTCAAGTGAAATGCCAGTGCAAATTCCTATTGAAGTGACTCTTATTGAGTGCGAAAATTCAACAGACAACAGTATACGTGACCGTACCATTAGTGAGACAACGAAAATCTGATAAACATAAAATTTCTGACTTATTTTTTACTCCCAAACTTTGTATTGTATAGTTTTTTTTAATTACTTTTAATGTGATTTTATAATAAAAAAATTCTGATGAGCTTGAACTCCAAAACTTTAGTTTATATTATATTGTATTCTTTCATTTATTATTTTAATCTAACTTTATCAATTTCTCAATTGTCTTGCAGAAGTACAGAACTGCCAGTCATCTTTTGGCAAATCAGCAAACTTCTATGGTGCCAACAGTGAGGGTAAGACTTTTGTCAGTTTAGTTTCATCTACTACTTCCTTGAGGTGCAGATGATTTATTTAGAAACAGCTTTTGATTAGTCTTATGTCCATATTAAATCCATGTTTTTTTCCCCCCTGGCTGCCAATTGCAGGTTTTGGGTATGATGGAGAATCCCACATGTATTATGACGATGCATGTGTAGTGCCAGACCGCCTGGAGGGAAAGCTAAAGCAGGAGGGTGGAGTTTTCCGGGAGGGTCCTCCGTATCAACGAAGGGGGTCTCTGCAACTCTGGCAGTTCCTGGTCACTCTGCTGGACGACCCATCCAACAGCCACTTCATTGCTTGGACTGGCCGTGGGCTGGAGTTTAAACTCATTGAACCAGAGGAGGTCAGTGTGTTATGAAAGCAAATGGCTTTATAGCCCATTTATTTAGCCAACAAGCAGAATTAACGCACCCATTTTCAAAAGGTTGCTCGTCGTTGGGGCATCCAGAAGAACAGGCCTGCAATGAATTATGACAAACTGAGCCGCTCGCTGCGCTACTACTATGAGAAGGGCATCATGCAGAAGGTAAAGGCACGTTCCCGTTCCAATGTCATTTTTCTTCTTTCAATCCCTTAATTAATAGATTGCAGTTCCCTCATTAACCGTAGTTAGTCAAATACGCCCCATCAAAACATATCTTATCTCAAGTACGTTTTTCTAAGACATGTCTCTTTCTCTTGCTCATACGCAGGTTGCTGGAGAGCGATACGTGTATAAGTTTGTGTGTGATCCCGATGCGCTCTTCTCCATGGCATTCCCTGATAACCAGAGGCCCAGTCTGAAAGCAGACCCCGATGGGCTGCAGGTTCCCGAGGACGACACTGTTCCGCTCTCACATTTTGATGAGACTAACGGTGTCCCGTATCCAGGAGATGTCAGGGACCAGTGCTTAGTGGGACCGTCCTTTCCTGAAAATTATGCTTTCTGAACTGCTTCACCACCAATGAGTGGACCAGAAAAACTCTAAAATGAATCCTCGCACTCAAGTGCAGCTCATGTCAAATTGTAATCGCTCCAATGAGGAATCTGTAGCGCCTGCTGACAAGTCTCTAGACTTTCTTGCCACACTTTTATTGTTTGTTTGTTACTACACAGATTCCATGATGGATTTTTTTATTTTTATTTACAAACAAAAAACTTAAAGGGACACAACAGTATTTTTCAGTATAACCTTTGATTTTATATATATATATATATATATAAATAAATAAGTGTATATTTTAAAATATGGCTTTTGTGCACTGCTTTTGTGTATCGGGCCTGGTGTCTTTTTTCAATGCTCTGCTTTAGTGAGATTTGTAACAACTTCTGACAATTCATAATCATGCACCTCAGGCTGTGTTGTCATTATCAGAGTGTATATAGCTTTGATTATAATCAAAGCTGGCCAAGTAAAATGCTTTATAACTGTTCAGAAATAGTCAATTCAATTGCTTTTGTAATGTGATTTTTATGGATATGGGGCGAATGGGCAAAAAGAGGGTAGGGGAATTGAAAAGTGAAATCTATGTATATTATGAGTATATTTTTGCAAAAGCTGAATTGAAGTGCATTGTATAAGCTGTACAACAGACTTTTATCACTTCTAATCTGTTCTTTTTGTACAGTGGTGTGTGTGAAATTGCAAACCAGCTCTTGATATAGGGGAAAATCACGACTGAAATGCCTGATTCAGGATCAGTCATGCTTGCGCGACCTTTAACTGTTTACCAAAGGATTATAGCAAGGCTGTCTGATCTCTGCTCGGCAGTAAACAAGCATGGCAAGAAGCTCTTTCCACCTTCATGGTCAACCTTATTTGTCTGTACTGGGTACAATAGATCCCTAGTTCTGTTTCACTGTGGATAAAACTCTTGTCTCATTGTCTTTTGAAGACAGTCTTTTCAAGTACAGTTTTGGTGTACAATTACAGATCTGTATTTTCTAAACTATAAGGTACAGGATAAATAAACGTCCATAAACGGATATAGTGGCTACTGTTTTTTTTTTTTGTTTTTTTTTGGTGTGTGTGTTTCATTTAATAACTTAACTTGGACCAGATAAGAAGAGGTGTAAGAGGTATTTGGGGTAAATAAACGAGATAAAACAAGATAAAAAGATTGGATGGCCTAGATGGAGGGTCAGTCAATTTTCAGCAAATTTAGATTTTTGGTTAATTATTCCTTTAATTTATTGTGTTCTAAACAACTTGAACTTCTAGTAGTGTGTGATCTTCAATCCTTTAGTGTACAATCCCCAGTTTTTTCTGTAACCATTTACAATTTCGACAAATGTATGATGGTCTAGTGTAGTCTGTTTCAGCCTTTACATTCTGACTATACATTCCATGTGGAACATTGAGGAATCTCATTTACGTGTGCCTGTTATCTTTCAAAACTGTAACCCAGCAAAGCCTGTGTAACGAGGCGATGCAAAGTAACGGGGTATTGCATAACCGAGTGCCGCTCATTCTCTTTCTTCTCTGCTGTCTTCTTTAGCAGGGTTAGTCTTAATCCTGCTGGTGACCTTGTTTCGTGGAGCCAGCGAACTGAAGAGTTATTAAAATGTCATATAGTCTGATCATCATAAAGGAACTATATAGGGACTGAGTGTCATATTTACTGTTATATAACAGTTCCAGTTCTCAAATTTGATTGGCCAAGTGGAGTTCCAAAAATGGCTATATGTAGTATAACAGCACTGGGATGTTTCACTGTTTGTATCACTCAGTTTGTATGTGTTCATGGAGTTCCAGGGTGTGAACGGTGCTGAGTGGCAGACAAACCAGGACTGAAAATTACTAAAGCAAGCAAATTTTTGCCTAAAATGTAAAATACTTTCTATCAATTACTTGTCTATATAACTGTTGTACAAGAGCAATATCGCACCCACAACTGTGTTTAATATCAGATGTGATTATCTGTGAAAAGAGCTGCAGCCCTGCAGATATTCAGTACCATCACACTCCTGTTCATGTGATATTGCTTACATAAATTTACAGTTTTAACAGTGTGTTGGTGTGCACTGAACATAAGACTTCTAAAATGAATACAAATTATGTGTCATGTTTCATTATTTCATTTAAATGTAGTTCTTAAAAATAAAGGGAGCAACAGCATATGCTATAAAAGAACCATTTTGGGCTCACCAAAGAAGCCTTTTGTTTTTAAGTGAGTTATGACGTAAAAAACTTTCATACACCCTAAAAACACCCTGAATGGAAGGAAACGGCTCAAAACTTACACCTCCAAAGATTCTTGTGGCTGCCTGGGTTGAGTAAACGAGCTGCTGACTACTTTTAGTGTAATAGCGCCGACCGGTGGTTTTCAACGTAAATGACAGGTTGATGTTATATAAGCACGTACGTCACCGAATACAGAATTTCACGTCAGAGGGGAATAACTCTACAATGCAATTTTGAAATCAGTAAGATTCCACTTAGACTAAGTCATTTTTTTTTACAGGCAGGTGCTTGTCTCTTGGCTGCTTATCTACAAACATATACATTTTTTTTCTCCAAACAAATGTATAATTTAAAATAACAGGTATATAACCTAACGTTTAAACATAAAACTTTGTTTTTTTCAAAAATGGGTTGATAACCGTGTTGTATTTGTTAAACAGCTACTGTCAGACTTTCAAAATCCTTCATCACTTGAATTAAGATTTAATTATAAAGCATAGCTTCCACAAAATAAGACGTTATCACCTCTTTTTAGTTTGAGATCGTTCTGTGGTTGAATACAGATTTAAAAATCATTATAATAAACAGTTTAATAGTGTTTTTGAAATCAAATTTTCGCAAAGCTATGACAGGAGACATTGGCATCTAACAATGCCTTGGGGGAAAAAAACAACAAAAAACTATCTTAA